TCCAGGAAATCCTCCAAAACCACAAAGAAAAAGTCTCAAAAAACCAAAAAAAAAAAAAAAAAAGAATCTTAAAAAAGAAACTCTTCTCAGAGTAATGCATATATTTGTTTTGTTTTTCAAGACACAATGCATATTTTTAATGTTACACACACACACACAACTTTGGGAATGGAAGGGTCCTACCTACCTATCAGAGTGAATTATAGCAGAACTAATAAACTCTTACTGCACTCTGACAAAAGAAACTAAATGATTTTATGTGTCATTTTTTTTTTTTATGGGCTGACTTAATGTCACTTCTTCTCAAATCAATTACAACAGCTTCACACACTAAGGATACAGGTGAACAGAAATGATACAAACTTAGGAACCATTAGAATAAAGAGAGGGATAAATCTCAAAAAGGAAGAAGCCTGTTCTGGAACGAAGACAAATCCAAAGAAAATACAAGTAGAATTAGCAAGTTCAGAAAAAGACTGAAGGCACTCACCAATATTGGCGGGGAAGGGGACTTCATGCACAGCAGGGTCCAGGTTGATGACGTAGGGTGGGAAGCGTTTGTTGTGGAGGTGTCCTGTGAGCCTCTGCAATAACGGGGGGGGGGGGAGATGATAACATAGTAAGGGGACCAGAGAATTCCCATCCATTCATTGGCCACGCCTATAAAGTCTGTAATAATTTCACTCTTCCCGCCACCTATTACGCTTGTTCAACAATAAACTCTCAGTTTAAAAAACATCTAGCTCTAATCTGGCAGGCCTCCTCTACTCTCCATCACCTCTTACTAACTTTGAATGTCCCTGTAAGAGGTTTTTCCCCCTATCTCCTTCACTAAAACATTAACTCCGTGAATGCAAGGGCTTTGTTAATCTCATTTTCGCTGTACGCTCAGAGTTTAGAACGCGGTAAGTCGAAAGAAGTCATTCTTCCACAACTCCTCAGGCAAAACCAGTGTGTTGGCATTACATCCCCTTACTCTTTAAGCCGGGACCTTCAAAAAAGCTGCTAATTCACATCAAGACGATTTCCGGTGTACCACGCTTGCACTACGGTCACCCAGAAGGCCGCCGAGGGGGACCCGGGAGAGAGCCCAGGGAGGCTTCGGGAGTCGAGGAAGCCCCCGGAAAACCACGCGTCCAGACCCGCCAGTCCCCCAGACTGCTTCCTCCCTTCCTCCCCGGCCACAGGCAACCTTCCGCGCAGTGCACGTCACCTGTACAAAGGTAGTTTTCCCGGATCCCGCCATCCCCAACACCAAGAGACACACGGGGAGCTGGGGAGCCCCGGAAGCCTGGAGCTCTGCAGGAGCCGAGGGCGCCGCCATCTTTCCCTCAGCCACGCCCACAGCTCCACGGACTCGCCTACAGTCGCTGCATTCCGGGCTGCGATTGGCCGGAGAATTCGTCCTCTTGCGTTCAGAGCTGCGATTGGTCGGATGATCCTACCTGCTGCCCTTAGGGCTACGATTGGCCGGAATATCCAAATCGCCCAAACCTGCTGGGCTCCAGAAGGGCCTGTGGGCGTCAGGCTCTCTGGACTGTCTAGATGCTGCAGCTGCCAAGTAGGGGCTCTGGACATGTGAGGGGAAGTGTAGAGAACCAGGGAGAGTTGACAGGGGTGAGGGAGGACCTGGGAGGGGCAAAGCTCGTGTCTCCAGGGGCGAAACGAGGTGGAATCCCAAACCTAAAGTTACGTGGCACAAATCTGTCAAGATTGTGAGGTTAGCGGACTGAAATGGCAATCCACCTTCTATCTTATTGGCTAAGAAGAAAAAAAAAATTAAAGATCATTATATTCTAGAAAATATTAGGTAAAAATTATGGAAAAACTTTGAAAGATAGGATGAATACTGTCCTTCAAAAAACGGAGGAAGAAACAGTTCAAGCAGCGTTCTCACCAAATGCAAAGGGGATGAAAGAAGAGGGGTGTTTGTGACCCAAGTGTGGCTGAATAATTTATAGTGAGGGATCTGAGTTGAGACGAGTAGGATGAAACGCATGAGGGAAAGACCGTATGACAAGAGACTGACCAAAAATGTTTTAGTTTTGTCCATTTGTCCAAGGAAAGAAAATCAAAGGCCCAAGTGAGCCAAAGTCAAACTCCTAAAAAGTCCCCTTTAAGAGAAAGGTAGCTCAATAAATAAATAAATAAATAAATAAATAAATAAATAAATAATAAAAAGAGGGGGGTAAAGGGCTAGGGCTGTAGGTCAGGTATCCCTTGGTTTTGTTGACATTCTTGCAAAATGGATAAAACTCTTGAAAAACAAGAAGGAGAATATGGGCTGGAGAGATGGCTCAGCAGTTAAGAGCACTGACTGTTCTTCCAGAGGCTCCTGGTTCAATTCCCAGGAGCCACATGGCAGCTCACAACTGTCTGTAACTTCAGTTCCAGGAGATCTGACACCTTCACACCAATGCACATAGAATAAAAAATTTTTAAAGGAGAATATATATAATCATATAATGATGCATATTATCTAATGGTTTATAGAAGGATATATAAAGATGGCTCAGTTGGTAAAGAGCTTGGGTAAGGACCAGAGCTCTGTCCCCAGAACCCACATAAAAGCCCAAGCATTGTGTCATGTGCCTATAATCCCAGTGCTGGGGAGCCAGAGATGGGGGGAACCCTGGAGCTCACTGGCCAGCTAGCTTAGCCAAATTGGTGAGCTCCAGGGTCAATGATCAACCTTGTCTCAAAATTTCAGATGGACAGTGATTGACCTGACCTGATCTGACTCAAGCCCTCGTCGGGCAGCATGGTCTGGCTTGTGTTACTTTCTAGTGGTGATATGGGTGACTTTATGTGAAAATTATTTTGCTGGCAGTAGACATACACTTCAGTTAGTTTAGTTGTGACATTTACATTTGGCATCTTTTTAATTACAGTTATGTGTGTGAGTGTGCATGTATGTGAGCATGCATGCCATATTTTGTGTATAAGTTAGAGGACAACTTGTGGGGGTTGCCATTCCCTACCCTGTGGGTTCCAGGGATGGAACTCAGGTTGGCTGGCTTGACTGTAAGCACCTATATTCACTGACCCATCTCTTGGCTATGATATCAGCAAAATGGCAGGTGAAACTTTGATCTCTTTATTTTTCTACAAATTTGATTCCTCCTACTTATTGAAAAAAAAAGAGCAAGCTTTGAAACCCCTATTCTCAGTGTAGATGGCTGTCAATCATATCCCAAGCACATGGGAGATCCCACCCATCCATTATGTTAGAAATAAAAGCAGGCTTGTTGTAATTTTTTAAAATAGATTGGGGATACTTTGTTTAAAGTCCTTTCATATTAACACCTGTATTCACAGTGCTCATGAAAGACCCCCGAAGAGGTACTTTCGTAGACGGAGACCCGCACCCAGGAATCAGCGAGACCACGA